AAAAATCACGCTTAGACATGTGTTATAATTATAGTAGGCCAGGCCTGTGTAAATCGAGTACTGATGCATTTTTACGTATTTTAGAAGTATTCATTTTGAGTTGTCCCAGGAAATAATTTGTTTTGGCAAAAAAAAAAGATTTAAAAATTTTACACTGTGTACAAAGGGGGGAGGGGGGTAGCCGCGGCTCCCACGGCTCCCCCTGGATACGTCCCTGACCCCCATTAAAAATATGTAGAGGGCTGTGCCCCATAATCTGCGCCCATGTGTGTGGTTGTGAACATTTTATTGTAAACCGTATCTTAATAGAACAAATATTGACATCATCGTTTAACGAAATTGACCATTATATCGTAATAAAACACACAATGAAAAAAAAGACATTCATGAACCAAACTCTTGGGTAGCTGATATATTTGAATATTGTAACAATCCAAATACTAGGCCTACCTCCTGGGATGTATGTTCTCAATTTCTCATCATTCATTTCTAACTGGGCCTGGATTTATAGTCCTTATCCGAGAAAAATTGTTCTACCGCCGTTCGAACCAGCGCCGAAATTATGGCTGTAGGTTGCGGTGGCACTGCTAACCGCTCTGCCATTCGACTCGCCTACATATTATAATAAACATAACCAAACATTTTTTTTTTGTATTTTGCTTGCTATTTTTCAGTTTCAACAGCAACATTTTTAAATTCGCTGATTGGAAGAAAACCAATCACAATACGTTTGATTACGATACCTTGTAGCAGATATATGTTGCGTCGATATTTTTTAGTCATAAAATTTCAACTTAGTTTTAAATTATGAAGTATGTAACACAAGGGCATCAATCCGTGGTTGAAAGTGTGTGGGGGATGAAATAAGCTGCAATATGCGATATATATACTGTCTCTTATACACATCTAGATGTGTATGCTGCCTAGGGTTCCGGTGAGGGCCCAGATGGCGAAACTCCCGTATCTAATTGATTTTAAAGAATGCAATTAACATTTATTTCCACACTACATTTTCAAAATACAGTGGCGGACCCAGGGATTTGAAATAGAGCTGGGCCCAGTGAATTTTACAGATGTAGAGTGTAGACCACCTCAGGCTGAGGTAAGAACATTTATGATTATGACACCTCTAGTTGGTCGGAAAGGGCACTCACAGATTCAATTTGAATATAATTTTAATTTTTCTCCACTTTTTTCAGTGGCAGATTCAAGGGGTCCACTGGACCCCTTGAATCTGCCACTGAAATACTCATCATAAAATGTTTTTAAAATTATCCCGGTAATCATAATTATGCCCACATATATAGGCCTATTTCGTACAAACTAACATTCATAAAAATAATGATTTATTATCCACTGATTAGCTTGTGACGTATTCAAACGATGAAAAATAAATAAGATAAACTTAATAGTCATCAATTCTCTTTGCATGTACAGTACTTTTAAAATCAATCAAGAGGTTTTTCCTTTTCTCCTCTCTTTGAATTTCACCGTGGTTGGGGCTGAGGTAAGAATTATCGATTATGACATCTCTAGATAACCGGAAATGTTACTCTCACACCTAAATTTTAATTATAGATTCCCTTTTTTTAAATTAGGAAAAACAGCAATACAATTCTAATTAAAACACTAGTATGGGTCGTAACAATATACAAAAGGAATAAATCGTTTATAGTAGAAACTGTGCACTTTTGAGCTTGTAAAAATTTTGGCCTAAGAAGTTTACTCGCTTCCAATTTTAACAACGTACAGTACATTGTTTTCACAATAAAGTTAGCCTCTGATAACCGTTGCACCCATAATATCAATGTAGTGGTTACTGAGATGGTTACGATGTACAAACAATTGCGTTTTTACTCGGTTTTTGTCCGGAAATACGCACCGCACTTGGAAAAGTGAACAGACAAAATTCATGACAGTCATGGATAATTGTTATTCTTTCCAGTCGTTTTGAAAAGTGGGGGTTTAATTATAGAAAATTGATGAAAAGTGGAGGTGGGGGGGGGTACAATTGAGATGTCCACCCCCCCCCCCCTACTTTGAAAAGTGGGGGGACGTGGTCCCCTGTTCCCCACCGATTGACGTCCATGATGTGAGCCCTGGCACTGAATTCACCGTAGTCACCCACCAGACAATCGAGACACACACATCATCGCCATTGTCATCATCATCATCATCATTAATAATCATCACAATCGTCGTCGTCATCGCCACTATCATCATCAATATTATCGTTATTAGTATATTATTGTTATTATTATAATTGTTAGGCCTACAGTATTATTCAAATTCCAATTACTTTTATAGTATTTTTTTTAATATAGCACTATTATGGACATCATGGATGTCACCTGAGTTTCATGATCAGTTATGGAACAGATATTTATTATTGCACGACACAGACGACTGTTGTTTGAAATGACTTGTAACTCGACATCATTTATATGCATCAATGATTTTTAATAAAATTCTGATAATCCTAACCTAGTCTTTTTTAGTATAGGTTTGTACTAAACAACATATAAGTATTGTCATCTATTGGTAAAGAGAATTATTAAATGAAATAAGCTGCAATATGCGATATATATATATATATATATACATAATTTTTTGTTTCAACGACTTATATATATATATATATATGTATATATATATATATACATATATATATATATATAAGTCGTTGAAACAAAAAATTATGACAACAAGGCATGTAGAC